GTTATGGTTTCTGCTGGTAAGGACATCCAATTTATCATCCATGTATTTTATGAATCTTGTGTATTAAAACCTTATATTACAATAAAATATAAGAGATAATTTATATTCTTCCGTCACTAAAATTATAACATATTTACTATTTTTTAGTTTTTAGAATTATTTTGTAAAAAATAATTAAACAATATATATGTCATGATTTTAGTAATCGAATGAGATAGTTTATATTTAAAGATAGATGATTTTAGTGACCGAATGAAATAATTTATTGATTCATGTAATCATGTTATATATGAATAGTTTGGGGCCTTCTATGTGGAGCTTTTGGCTAGCCTGCCACATGAGAGAAAGAAGATAGATGTAAATAAAAAGAACATTTGTCAAAATCAAAATAAAGAAATACAACCTAGACAAAAAGGGAAAGATAGATAAATATTGGTCCACAATTAATAATTATAAATTCAGCCAAAAGTTATATTTCTTCGTGTTTTCCTTATGTTTTTAATGGCAAATATGTTATTTTGTTATACTTAAAATGATAAATGTGTCATTACATATCATTATATTTTTCTTTAGTTTTCTAAGGATTTATCTCTCCATTAATGAAGAGGGTCGATACTCATTTCAAATTTGCAAGAACCATCAGTCACACACGGTTAAGGACTATGATTGGTAAGCTTTCATCACCTTGAAGAAACATGTATACACTTTGTGAAGCCCACATATTTGGACCACTACCAACATTCATTGCATCTTTAACTATTTCATATCCCAGTGACATTATTAATTAATCATATTTGTTTATTGTTTATATGGTAAAGGGAGAGATAATAAATTATGGAGGAAGTAATTAGTATTAATAAGGTGAGGAGGCGTTTCAATCAAAGCCAACCCATGTGGAGTTGAAATTGCATAGCCATCAATAAATCCTCTAAGACATTATTTAATAGAAGCACACACTACCTTCAGTTCCTACATGCTTCTTACTAAACGACAAAAACAACCTTAACATGATATTCAACCTTCTATTATCAATACTACATGTTAGCATTTTATTGGTTGGTGTGTTATGCTGATGCCTTATTAAGTTTCCTTTCCTTCTATTCCTTGTTGTGTCTTCATTCTCTTTCACTCTTATTTCATCATCAGATCTCACTTCTAATCTCTAACCATGGCTGAAAAGGTATGTGGATATTGTTAGTGTTGATTCATCTGAATCATATCTTACTTTCTTGTCTCAAACACAAATATATGCTATATTATATAACCCTTTTGGATAAATGTTTAGTTTTTTGTAGTCTTGTTTAGTTTACAGCATGAAATTTTGACTTTCAATTTTATGTTAGCTTCTACTGCTTGAAAGTTTGTAACATACCCAGATAATGTTATTCAATTTAGGTGACTATGATGAAGCTCAAGGTTGATCTTGAATGTGAGAAATGCTATAAGAAGATTAAGAAGCTTCTCACCAAGTACCCTCGTGAGTCCTTATTTAACAACTTTGTTATTATTATTATTAGAGTCATACTTGTGGTACTTTGTTATAAAGGATATCAGATTGAGTTAAATTTTTTATTTGAACTTTTGTGAACAACAGAAATTCGAGACCAGACATTCGAGGAGAAGCAAAACATTGTAACAATCACCGTGGTATGTTGTAGCCCAGAGAAGATTAGGGATAAGCTTTGTTGCAAAGGTGGAGGTTCCATTAAGAGCATTGAAATTGTAGAACCTCCAAAACCCAAACCACCCGAACCCGAGAAGAAGAAGGAAGTCAAGTTTGTTGAGCCCGAGAAAAAGAAAGAAGAGGAGCCAAAGCCCAAGTCCAATCAGGAACCTGAAAAGAAAAAAGAGGCAGAAAAGCCCAAGTCGGATGCTCCTAAGAAGGATGCTGAGAAGCCCAAAGAAAAGTCCAAAGAGCCCAAGTCGGACGCTCCTAAGAAGGAAGCTGAGAAGCCCAAAGAAAAGTCCAAAGAGCCCAAGCCTATGCCAGATCCGGCTCCAATGTTGAAGATTCTCGACCCCGTTCCTACGTACCCACAAGTGCCACCACCAATGGCAATTCCAGTTGGGATGTTCTGTGTGCCAGCCTATGAAGGCAGGCCCGTTGGGCCCTATGTCAATGAGTGTGGTGGGCCACCATTATGCTACGATGGGTATTATGGAAGACCCATTTATGATAGTTATGGTGGTAGGCCCTATTACCCAAGTCGTTGTGATCAATATTTCAGCGAAGAAAATGCACAAGGGTGCATAATAATGTGATGACTAAGTTCCAACAAACTACAAATGTATCTTTAAATGGTGGCCATGCCCATCCATGCACCTTCACTCTACTCTTCCTCATCATGTTGAATCAAATTCAACGAATTATTTCATTGTTCTTATTGAAATTTATTAGTCCTTCATAGGAATGAAGTACTATTAGTGGGTTTAATGTTCGATCTTAAAGTACTACGATGATTTTCTACTCTATGTTTCATGAGATAATTAATAATGCATATTTTTAAATTACAAGCAATATTCTAACTTGCGCAATGGATGTTCAAAAGGAAACTAATTTGGTAGGGACTTTGATTCTTTTATGTTTTTGTTGGAGATTATAATATGTTTCAACCAAAAAAGATAGCTTTTTTAACAAATTAATAAAAGTGGGGTAATTGAATTAATTATATATGATGAGATTATATGTAATAATTATATATTAATTAATATAAAAATAATACTAGAAGCTTCCACCGCATAGGAATCAAATTAAATTTGTAAGCACATCATTTGAAAATTCTTTTGAAGTTAAGATGCCACCAAAATTTTGTCACCATCTTCCACTTGCATCACATGCTTTATACAGATATGTTAAATAAAATAGTGGCAACTCAACCATGATGATGAGTGATAAAAAGGTCAACCATCATGAAATATACTTATCTTTTGTAACTATTATTGAACAAATAATTTAACATATTTGTTTTCCCATTTGCATACATTTACTCTGCCTTAAATTATAAGATATGTGGATACTTTTTAGATATCATTTTAGGTGTTCAACAAAGTTCTCCTTTACTTTAATTTTTTTTATTAGGCAATTAATTGAAGGTTGGAAGTTGGAACGGTTTCTTAAAAGGAATATGTTACATGGTTCATAGTGTTGAATTCAGACTATTTCTCCATAATAGAAAATACATTAAGTTATATTGCTAGGTTTTTCTCCTCACTTTGTATATGGATGACTCTGGCTATATAATGATTCAAACAAAACATATTTCTAGTTAAGAGAGGAAAACAACAATCTCTTATTATTCCCAACAAATGTATTTCAAGGATAACGTTTAACAGGTCGAGTAATATACCAACCAAAGTGGATCCTATAAAAATGTTGAGGGATGAGTGAAGCATCCCACCATTTCCAGTTTCAACAGAGGCTTAAAAAGAAGAAATGCAGAATCTGGGAATAAGGCACTGCCTAAATTGCATTGGTAGAGTTATTGATAACAGAAAATATAGATTTGGTTGAAGGTTTTATTAGCTGGTGGAGTCACTATGTTGGACTTGTGAGTGGAGAAAGTGTAGTGACGAAGTGAAAAAGCAGTGTTAGTCCCACATCTTTGAAGCTAAGAAGGAGCAAAGGGGAGATAGGATATAAATAAGAAGCCCAGCATTTGGTAAACTCATACCTTTCTCGGCCTTTTGGCTAAGATCAAGTGTAGTATCTGTTCTTATCAGTTTAATATCTGATATGTGGGTCATTGGCCCACACGATATTAAATTACTTTTTTAATGGGGAGTTGTCACCACAATAGCTTGCTATTGGACTTCTCACGCGTCGCCTATGCGTTGCACTATTGCATGGGCTTGGCGCACCCTTCAAATTTAGTTCAATCCCTTTTTATTTTTCAATGAAGAATTTATTAAATTGGCCTAGGTAGTCATAAAAAAAAGTACGTTGCTCTAATCGTTAGTTGTAGTGTTCTATTGCTTCAACCATTAAGTGGTTTTCAGGCTGGCTACATACAAAAAGAATCTCTACTTACTAAAATCCTCTTAAAGAAAGCATTTTATCTTACAAAGAATCTCGACATATTCTACGTTACATCAAAGATAAATATCTATATCTTAAACATACAGCTATTTTTGTTCAGTCTCAGATTTTACTACATTATGGTCAACCTTTACCCTTGTCACAGACATGGAGCCATAATTAAAACCATGATGTTAATTTCCGCACCAGAGCCACCCTTGTCCTTACTACAGGCTACTTATGTTCTAGACTTATAAGACCTAATATGGACTGCAATGCTGGCATAAATAGACAGAAAACACATGCCTGTAAATTCTAACACAACACCGGAATGTTTGTACGGTACCTTGAAAAATAATCCAGGTCAATATAACTGACAAGCTGCGAAGAAATGCAGCAAGTACACCAGAAACTAGTTTGAGGCCCCTCTTTATTTGTTAGCTTAACTGCAGACTTGAATATGAAAACTGCAACTCCCTGAGGCCATAAAGCAAAACTCATTTAATATTATTGTGAGCTCGCTAAAAAAGTTAACAGGCAATGAAAAACCAAGTGAAGCGAAATATTAGGCCCAAAAAAACAACCATGTGTTTGAAAAGATGCAAAAATTAGGTAGAAATATGGAACATATATGTGATAGGTGCAAGGCATGACTAAGTTTCAATCTGATAATATGCCTTGATATAATTTTTAATTGATTTGCTTTGCAATAATTTTCAATCTAAATTTTCCCTAGATGGAAGATTATTTTTATTTACTTATATTAGAGGCTGACTTTGTTTTGTTTACAAAATCACCAGCCACATATAAATAGTAATGGTATTTCGTAATTCCCATTTTATTTTCTTAACATGAATGGTTAAAGTTGCTAAAATCATTAAAGATAAGATTAAATGATTAATAAGAAAGGTATTTATTTATATGACTACCTCGTCCAATTTAATAAATTCTTCATTGAAAAATAAAAAGGGATTGAACTAAATTTGGAGGGTGCGCCAAGCCCATGCAATAGTGCAACGCATAGGCGATGCGTGAGAAGTCCAATAGCAAGCTATTGTGGTGACAACTCCCCATTAAAAAAGTAATTTAATATCGTGTGGGCCAATGACCCACATATCAGATATTAAACTGATAAGAACAGATACTACACTTGATCTTAGCCAAAAGGCCGAGAAAGGTATGAATTTACCAAATGCTGGGCTTCTTATTTATATCCTATCTCCCCTTTGCTCCTTCTTAGCTTCAAAGATGTGGGACTAACACTGCTTTTTCACTTCGTCACTACACTTTTTTCACTCACACAACTGCCTACAACACCGTTTTCCTTATCCTATCCCGAATACAAGCTGTAACTTTAACACATTCAAACATCAATCACATTAATGGAACTAGCCATTAATTATTCTTTGCATTCTTCTTACCATGTGTGTGCCCACTTAGGTGTTCTTTCTGCAACACAGAGAATCCCATGTTTTCCCTTTCTAAAAGCTTTTGAACTCTAAGGACTACCCAATTACCAAAAACGAGAAAACGATTTTAATATGAACGATTCTATCTGTTGTATTTGTAACCACCTGTGTCCAACATATACAGAACCCTCCTAATTGCTCAAGAAGATGGAGAGAAGGTAAACGTTTTGTGAAGGAAGCAGTAATAGCTAGATTTCTAAGTTGTTTATGTGCCATCCTTGTGTCACAGTGGAATCTTCTTATTGTAGTCTTTGAGAGTTATATAAACATGATAAAAATACTTTTACTAGTAAACAGCTTTTTCTAGCAAAACAGCACTTGTCACCAGACATACACAATCAGACTATTTCTCCATAATAGAAAATACACTAAGTTATATTCGCTAGTGTAAGTCTCAAAGTTACTCGAGTGTAATGTTTTCTACCACCATCTTTAGCTAAATCTATTCTCTTAATACACATAATGTGCACATGTAATTCAATTGTTTCCCAAGTATAGGCCACATTTCATTTCCCTGCTGATGCACTTGGCTAGTATTCATAATCAGATAGAATATCATTCATTAGAGGAAGCGTTATACTTTTTGCTTTCACCACTTGCGCAGCTGGAACTTAATTTCAACATTACTAGTTAATATCGGCCGGTTCAATCAATAAATCAGTTTCATTATCGGTACGGTACAACATTTATGTTGATTTTGCAACTATATCGGTAAAAAACTGACCAAAATTGATCATACATGTCAGTTTTCAATTTAACTATACCGATCATATTAACTGGTTTTCAATTGAACCATACCGGTCATACTAACTGTTTTATTTAATTTTTTTTATTAATAAAAATGACTTATTTTTTACCAAAATATTAGTATGTGAGATCAAACACACAAATGATAAACATGGTCTATCATCAAGTGATACATTTTTATTTTAACAAATTGTATAAATAAAAGTTATTATTGTTTTCTTATTGATTTTTTCAACATTAATGTTAGTATAAAATATATGTATATCTAATTTCATCGACATACAATTTATTCAGCAAACAACCGATTAAACTGCTATATCACTATACAAATACCCAGACTAGATGATATACGAGGAAAATATTAATAACATTTCAAGAAACTATTGATAAATAATTTGCCATGAACACTTTGTAAATAAAGAATATGAATGTCTAAAAAGGTCAATCAATTAAAAAAGTACATTAGATGACAACCCTCCCACACATTGATGCACATAATGTCTAACTATTATTGCCATAGATCTTCAGTTAAGAAGAAAACATTAAATAGAAATTTCCCTTATGGTACCATGTCGATATAATAAATGCAAACAGAGGCAAGAGTCAACCCCTTTGTAAAGGACTTGAATTCCTCAACTTAAATCACGCACAAATAAGGAGAGATAGATATAATCTCAAAAGGCTTGCAACATTTATGGAAATTGAATACTGATGAACAACTTTTTATAAAGAAGAACATGTAGCTAGCAGCACCTGTACTACCATAAAGTATAGAAAATCAAGGAGTAAATCATGGAAACTGAATATTTAAATATATGATGATGATGAAGAATTACATGAACTTCTCTATTGGTAAATATTGAAAAGATTGTAGCTTGTTAATTTGTGCCAACAATCATAGGATAGCTTTGCACAGATCTGAAAAAACTGTGTGCCACTCTGGTAAGAAAGATTGAGGAACATATAATATTAAGAAGAATTATACAAGTGGAATCTTAAATCACTTTGGTAAGAAAGGTATACAGTATCCTACTGTACACACCTAAATATACAAGTGGAATCTTAAATCATGTACACACCTAAATCTACAAGACTTGAAGAGGGCCTAAACATTCACCACCTCCTACTATAATAAAATCATTAGAATCTCTCCAAAGTTCTATTTGTCTATATAGATGTACACAGAAAGAACACAAGAAGTCAAAGCAATCTTCAATGAAGGATTTGAAGAAATTGGCAAGTGACATATTACAGATTCCAATCTAATCCTACCATTTCAATATACAAACAACAACAGAAACTCTAAGCTTCTCATCAGTATCTCATTTAGCTTACTCTTCTTCATCCATGGAGGGAAACAATTTAGCAGAAATGGAATTCAGGTTCCTACGGTTAAGCCTTGATCTTGATTTCCTCAATGGTGCATTTGGAGCTTTAATTTCCTCAAACTCATTTGAGTCATCCACATCTATGGGAATATGAAAAGCAGCAAAAGTTTTCTTCCTTGGTGTACTATACACAAAATGCAAACCTTTAGCAATCTCAGTCTGTAACAACAAAACAAACCAACACAAACACATACCAAATTAGAAACACAGATTGAAATACACAATATAAATCACAATAAACAACAACAGTGTCTGAAACTTACTGCTTCTTTTATAGTCTTAGAGACATGAAAAAGCTGCTCCAAATCTTCATGGTCTACACCACACAAAACCTTTATCTGAAATTAAAACAAAGTTCAGAAACTTCAAAATATCCTTTGCATAATAAATAAGGAAACAAATGAAAACCATTCATGATAAAAAATTAAGCTTTTAAGTTATTATACTCACCAATATATCAAAAGGAAGGGCTTCAAGGCAAGACCTTTCAGAAATAGAAGTGAGTTTCCCACTGCATACTCTCTTCAATGGAGTATTTATTGGACTTGAAGGTTCTACATTTTTAGAAACCAAAACCCTCTTCCTTCCCAGTGCACGAGCATAACAGTTATCAAACCCTGATGCCATTTTTTCAATGAACCCAAAAGACCAGAAAACCTTAAAAATTTCAGAGGCCAAACTTAATAACTTAATACTTTCAACACCTTTGTTCTTTAATCTGCAAAATAAAGGAGTTATCATGGTCAGAAAACCACAACATGAATCAAAATATTCAAAAAAATTAAACTTTGAAATGGAAATCATCAAATAACAGAAAAATGCGTAATATTCGGGATTGAGGATTAATGAGACAGAGAAACAGACCTAGATTTACGAAGGTTTCAGTTTTGTGCTTTATTTGTTACAGAGGTTTGTGAAATGAAAATGGTAACAAAATCCAATTTGCTTCAAAGTTAAGATATGTGGGAAGAATTAATGTGGCTTTTATATGAAGATAACAGATAAAAAGTTTTCAACTTTTAATATTAAATTAATCGTTATTCTCATCAAGAAATTAACGCGTTTGGAAAGTACCCGAAATTTCGAGGAAAATATTTGGTGTTACTTTTCTCTCTCATGGGCATGGCGGTTAAAAATAGAAAGAGGGAGAAGCTAAAACTAGCCGTTGGGGAGGGACACGTGGCGATACGGGAGAGGGGAGAAGACTCAAGTACTTTGTCGGTTGCTTCTGGATCACACACACGTGGTGGTGTACTATCGTAAGAACCATTTAATATTTATCATATAAAAATATATCATTTTAATGTGGATTTATGTTAAGGTGGAAGTGCTTCTGGATTGAGACGTGTGAAATTGAAACAAATCAAACTGAAAAAAGCGATTATTACTCTAGTAATAATCTTTTAATCTTTTAATTCCTTTGTGGATAAAGTCTAGAATGTTGTTGAATCTACGGTGGAAAGTTGGTAAGTGGGAAAAGGAAGATTTCCAAGTAGGGTGGCGGTTGTTGCTGTTTTACTTGCGTGTTGCATTGTCTTGGATTCATCACAATTAGATCTGCTGACATGTGATACTACTGTGCATTATCCCTTTGTTTAATCAACCCCTGTGTCCATTATTTTAAGCCCAGATACATACATTGTTGAAAACTTTTATATTGCTGATTCATACGAATCTTAAGAGTATTTACAATAACTAATATGTGTGGCTTGTGGGTGTGGGAGGAGAATCCTAGGTGATATAAAATAATGTTAAGAATAGGTAGGTTAAAATTAAAGAAGATGTAACGAATAGGCTAAATAAAATAGGTACTCTAAAGATTATATTTTATAGAATCCGAAAGTTTTTATTTTTCAAGCTTTGTGTTACTTATGTGAAACAATCATACTTGTAATGTTAAACTCAATGAGCATGCTCAAGAACCCCAACAGCAACACCCATGTCACCGGATTAATTGTAAACATAATTGATTCTCGGGGAAGGAATAATCGATTATCTTAGTAGTTAAAGTTAGTTAGATGGTTAGTCACGATAATCAATTAAGCTAAATATAATTGATTATCGTGGCTAACCATCAATACTAAAAGACTACTTCAGATGAATGAGTCGTTCTCTTACTTGACCATGGCATCGCCAACATGAGTCTGTGTTCGATAGTTGTAGAAATAGAGAATCCATGACAAGAAGAAGAAGAAGAAAAATGATAGAATACAAAAGAACTTACTAACGGTAGGGATTGAATAAACCTCTTTGATTGATTGAACCTTTGAAATTATACAAATTGAATGAAAAGAGAATAAGAAAATAAGAAAACAGAAAAACTGAAAAAAGCAACAGAAAGGCCAAAAACGGAAACAAAACTAAAAACGGAAAAACTGAATAAAGAAAAAGAAACCGAAAAAGGAAACTTTCGGTTTAACAAGGAGAAAGAGAAAAAATCATTTGGGCTTTGTAGAGTTGGCTTTTGGGCTAGTCTTATCTTCAATGCTTTCAATTTTAACAATAGTTGATAAGCTGCTAGTTGATATTTAGTTTAGGACTTTTTATTTCCTCCAACAACCGAGGAGTAAGGATTAT